ATCAGAATAAGCTGAACTGCCTGAATCGTAATTTTACTGAGATCCCGCAAGTGCCAACAGACATCATCCAGCTCAACTTAATCAAGAACAGAATCAGGCTTATTGAAGAGACATCGTTTTCTCAGCAACTAGAACAGCTCCAGATTCTCGTAATCGGATTACAGACCGAGCCACCGCTGCGTGTCAGAGCAAGAGCATTTAGGAATCTGCCCAATCTGACGTACCTAGATCTGGGAGGAAATAAAAAATTAGAGCTGGACGTGGAGGCATTTGCTGGGCTAGATAAACTGCAAATCCTTCATCTGGACTACAATGGTCTAACTGACTCAATCTTGCAACGGGGACATTTTAAAAATTTAATCTCACTGCACACCCTCATTCTTGACGGAAACAAGATAAAACAAATCAGACCAGATTCAACATTTTCTAGCCTAAGAGGTTTGAAAAATGTTCATTTTAAGGCAAATCTGATTCACCAGATTTGTGAGGGGGATCTGCACAATGTTCCACGGGGGTATTTTGAAACATTCGATATCTCCGCAAACAGACCCTTGTACGCGCATGAAAACTTTGACTGGGAGCAGTGCGGAAATCCTTTCAAAGACATAATGTTGAACACATTGGACATTTCAGAAATTGGCCTTAATGTCCACAAGCTGGAGAAGATGTTTTTAGCTATGAAAGGAACGCTTATCATTCACCTGAAGATGCAATATCTGATCATCGGTAGGTCATTTGGTTATAATAACATAGGAGATCCAAACAATCGGACACTGGCTGGTCTCAGTGACAGTTCTGTTCTGAATCTGGATATGTCCCATGGGTCCATCTTTACACTTGCACCCTACTTATTTTCACACTTAACTTCCTTGAAGTTGCTTACATTATCTTTCAACAAGATCAATCAGATTGAAACTAACGCGTTCTTTGGCCTAGACTCCCTTCTCCAATTAAACCTTTCCTCCAATCTGCTGGGGGAGATCTACTCATTTACCTTCGAAGGTCTGAGGAATGTCACGTTAATTGATTTGCAACACAACCACGTTGGAGCCATTCAGTACAATTCATTTCGTGGACTGAATCAGCTGACGATGTTGAACCTTCGAGACAACGCACTCTCTGTTATTTCTGGGTTTCACCATCTCCCACAAATAGCTTATTTCTTAGTGGGTCTCAACCGAATCAAATCAGTTTATGGCCTGGAGGCAGTTTCCAGGAGCACCTTTCTTGATTTCTCAAACAATGCCTTTACAAACCTCAATGTTTTCTATACGATCATGCAACTTCCTTTTCTGAAGCATCTTTTGTTGAGGGGAAACCGTATATCGAAGTGCACACCTGCGCGTACTGATATCATTCCAAAAAACAATCAGTTAATCCACCTTGAACTCTCAAGTAACTTCCTTGATTTGGTATGGACATCAAAGCAGTGCTGGGAAGTGTTTCATAACCTGACTAACCTAACTGTTCTTCTTCTCGATCAAAACTATCTTACCGAGCTACCACAAGATATTTTTAAAGGTTTGGTTTCTCTGAAGAGACTCAACTTATCATCTAACTCTCTGTCCAAACTCAGTCAGGGTGTGTTTCCCAGCTCTCTTGAAATCCTCGATCTATCTGAAAATCGCCTTGTGTCTCCAAGCCCAGATGTGTTCAGTTTTGTGAGTCACCTGGACTTGAGAGAAAACCAATACATCTGTGATTGTGGTCTCAGGGTGTTTATTGAATGGTTAAATACCACTGAGGCGGTCTTGGTGGAACCATTAACAGATATGTACTGTGTGTTTCCAGATAATTTACAAGGGATACCTCTTCTTTCTCTGAACACCGATGGGTGTGATGAAGATGCTAATGTGGAACCAATACAATTTGCTCTCTTTGTGTTCTTCACAACTCTGTTACTGATTATTGTCTTTTCTGTCCTTCTCTACAATCACTACAGAGGCTTGTTCTACATCTGGTACAAAAGAACAACAAACAAGATCATGAATGGTCAGAAGGCAGATGAGGAAGGGAAGGCCTATAAGTTTGATGCGTACCTATGCTTCAGCAGTAATGACATTGAGTGGGTGACAAATTCCCTTCTGCAGTACTTGGACTCCCAGTTCAATGAGAAGAATAAGTTTCAGATATGCTTTGAAGACCGCGACTTCATTCCTGGCGAGGACCATATTACAAACATACGTGATGCAATCTGGAGCAGCAAGAAAACAGTCTGCATTGTGACCAGGCAGTTCCTGAAGGACGGCTGGTGTGTTGAAGCCTTCAATATCGCGCAGAGTCGACTCTTCCATGAACTGAGGGAAGTGATGGTTGTGTTGGTTGTTGGCAAGCTCCCAGACTACCAGCTCATGAAGTACCAGCCCATCAGAGCCTACATCCAGAGCAGGCAGTACATGCGCTGGCCGGAAGACCCACAGGACCACAAGTGGGTCTTGGATAGGCTGGCCTACCAAATTTTGCGGGAACCCAGAAAGAAAAATCCAAAACTGGACAAGCCTTTCAGCCGTCTGAATTTCTCCAGAAGGAACAAGGCCAATGACAACATTAGGTTGCAACAGATTGCAACAGTCGCAAGATAAGAATGGCCTGCAGGAGATACTGGCTGCAGGCCAACTGCAAGATTAAACTCGATCTCCTTCTGAATGGTTCTTCAAAACTTTGGACAGCAAAGTACACCACCAATAGGTGACCTGTAGCCTCAACACTTGCTGTAACAAGTCTGCTGTAACATAAAAACTACCTCAACAAATGTACTTCAGTAAGATACAGGGCAGGTGACCTGCTCTGAACCAATGTGCTCTCAGTACCTCTGAGTTACAGGCCCACCCAGCTCCGCACCCCTACAGAGACCGAGAGAAGGACACATGCCCAACTCACTTCATTCCTTTTTTTTTAACTGTTGCGACCTTCATTTGAGTTTAATCTCCTACCTCCATCAGGCAGGTACTCTAACTTAAATAAAACAAAGAACTGCGGATGCGAGAGACCTGAAACAAAGGCAGAAATTGCTGGAGAAACTCAGCAGGTCTGGCAGCCTCTGTGGGAAGGTAGTGAGAGTTTTAACATTTCGGATCCCGTTCTGATAAAGAGTGTCTGGAGTTGAAAGTGTTAGCTCTGCTTTCTTCCCACAGAGGCTGCCAGACCTGCTGAGTTTCTCCAGCAATTTCTGGGTTTGTTTTGGGTGCTCCAATTGGCCATTCATACCGCTGGCACTGGCAGGAGCATTCCCATTCGCTAGTGAGATGGAAGGACAGCTGGCTCCCACGCAGAGTGTGGGAAGGAGGTCTTGTGCTCCACTGGGTAACCCCTGAGCCTATAGCTCTGGGTCCCAGTCTGTCTTCAGGATTGGGTAGCCAAGGAAGATGCCATCGCAACACAGATTCTTAAAGGGAGGGGCCAGTTGGCTTGATAGCCAGAGCAGATCAAATCATTGCCATCGACATGGGGTTTGAGCTGGTTCAGGGGTCACTTCAAGACCAGTCTTCTTTGGCCTCCTTGGTTTCTGTGCTATAGGTTGAACTGTCAGAAGACTGGAGAGGTCACATAGTCCATAGGAGCCAGGGTCAGTTTCATCATTTCACTTGATCAATGGAGATTTTGAAAGCATGTGGAGAATCTATTACCTAAAAAGCAAAGATGTTACTAAATCAAACAAACTATTTGACCCAATAGTCCCCATGGGTGTTTATCTGCTACATGAGCAGTAATTACTAAAGCTATGTGCCTGCTGTCCCTATATCTGATATTAACCATTCCCTTGAAAACATACAAAACGGATTTTTAACCATTGACATTATTCTCCTTTAAACAGTGACTCCAGGGCAGCATTCCACTGTCCAGAACCTTCTGTGTAAAAAAAACAATAGGAATTTCTTCTGCTCTCTGGCTGTATTCCATTGATCTTGTAGCTCCTGATGGCATTAACCTATAAACAAACATTCAGCATCTCGAGCCCGCTTCACTATTCAGTAAAATCATGGCAGATCTGATTGTCACCTCACAATCACGTCCCCACCTACCCCTGGTCACCTTTCACCCCGTACATAACAAGAATCTATCCAACAATGCCATAAAAATATTCAAGGACTTCCCTTCAACCACCTTTTTCAGGAAGATCAGTCCTAAGACTCATGATCATCTAAGAGAAAAACATTTCACCTCATCTCTGCTATGAATAAGTGGCCACTCACTTTTAAACAATGATCTGCAGTTCTAGATTCTCCAACAAGAGGAAACATCCTTTCCACACCCACCCTGTCAAGACCCCTCAGGATCTTATATGTTCTAAACTCCATCAGTTACAAGCCCAGCCTAACCAACCTCTCCTCATAAGATACCTGCCCATTCCATTCTTTGCTGAACTGCTTCCAAAGCAACTACCAACGTGTTTAAATAAGGTGACTAACACTGTGTGTGGTTTTCCAGACATGCAGTCATCAAATCTCTATGTAACTGAAGCATAACCTCCCCACTTTTGTATTCAACTCCCCATCATGATAAATGAGAACATTCTATTAGTTTTCTGACTTACTTGCTGTACCTGCATACAAACTTTTTCAGCAGGATGACCAGATGCCTCTGTATTTCAGAGCTCTGCAATCTCTAACCCTTCAGACAATATGCTCGTTTATTATTGTTCCTGCCAAAGTGGAAAATTTCACATTTTCCCACATGATACTGCATTTGTCAATTTCTTCTGCCTCATCATTTAACTGATCAATGTCTTTTTGCAGCTTTTTATCCTCTTTGTGACTTAATTTCCGAACTATTTTTGTGTCATTTGTTGATGGCAACCAGACCATCCAGCTCTTTATCCACCAAGTCATTTGTCTAAATGGTTAATGATAGCAAAGACATCACATTCACTATCTTCCAAACTGATTGACCTTCCCTGAATCATGGGAGCTTTGGAAAATTAAAACCTATGCATCAACGATCTCACTAGCCACTTCCTTTAAGACCCTAGGATGAGGTCCATCAGGACCTTGTCATCCCACAGCTTTGACAATTCAGTTTCAATCATTGAAATCCATTTTGTTCCATCCTTTGATAATTTTAAATACCTCTTGTTCAATTGTTCCATTCCCCTGCTTTAATGAAGCCAGCTCGTTTATCAAGTCTATGTTTTTATTTCCTTACAGTTGGCAGCTTCCTCCCTGTTATACCTTCACTGTTGCTTTAACATTTTTCCTGTTGTGTGGAGCCCTTAAACTGCACACAGAACTTTGACTGTGGTTTGAACAAAGGTTTAGTAAAGGTTCAATGCTCATTCTGACTTTAATGTTTTATAATTCTTATCATAATGAATCAAACTAATAGATTCCATTGAAAACGTGGGTCTTGTTTCAGCTGCTGATGTGGAATTGTAGAATTTTGTGGTGCAGAAGGAGGCCTTTCTACCCATCGTGTCTGTACTGGCTGCTGAAGGAACTACCAAGCTAGTCCCAATCTCCAGGCATATGTCCACAGCCCTCTAAATTCATCCCTTTCAAATATATATCCAGCTCTTTTGAAACCTCCTATCGAATTTGCCTCCACCACTCCCCCAGGCAGTGCATTCCAAATCCTAACAATTCTGAGTAAAGAGGTTCCTCCTCATCTCACTCCTGGGTGACAGTCTTGAAATTGTGACCCCCTGGTCACTGGCATCGTAGTAATGGTGTGTGTTGGAGTCATCCAGGTGAAACCGAGGAAGATCCTTTTCTCCTGTCCCCACCTTCCTCTCATTTCTGCAGCCCATCAAGCCCACTCCATCCCTCAGATAAGTGACTAGGAAGTAGCACCTTGACCTGATGTTCCATCAGTTCTTCTGGGAGTGTGTCTGCCACTTTCCCTCTCTGTACATCTCTTAAATCTGTCAAGGAAGTAAGGTCAGTTCTTACTGTGGACCCACCGTATGGCTCACTATGTCATGTTGGTTTCCCCAGTGTCAGTTAGTATCCCATTCCAGTGGGACAGAATAATGTGTTCCCTCCTGTTTGTGGTCTGGATGAGCTGCCCACCTGTGTTGAAGAGATTTTATGCCAGAATTGTAAGACTGTGAAACCTTTTGTGTTCTGTGTGATTGTACTGTGAGGTGATCCCCTGCTCCATTTGCCTCTTCGTTAAAGACTGTTACTATATTGGTCTACCAAAATGGACTATGTTGGAATTTGCCCAGTGCGGAGACTTTGCTTAAAACCAGAAATGCCTCCAGTGAATTTTGCTCCACAAATGAGATAGCGACCCAAATGTGACACTTTTGATTCTTAAATGTGGGTAGAAAATGGGAACTTTATTTTTTTATATCCTACTTTTGTATATGCCCTTTTATATCCTACAATAAACGTGGTTATATTTTACTGAATAAAAAATGTGAACATTGCAACAAGCTTTCCTGTGAAATCCTGCACCAGACTTTGTGTTCCTGTTAAGGCTGTGTGTCACTGGTATGTAGCCATGTATCCCTATATTGTACAAGTCAGTGATGATACAGCATAGCAGCAGCTCATTATATTATCACTGGACTAACATTCCAGACATCCAGGCTAAAGTTCTTGGGTCATGGGTTCAGATTCCACTCAAGTATGAGTAGTGACATTTGAAATGTGGAATTTAAAACTAGCTGAATGGTGATCATGGCCATTGTCGATTGTCACAAAATTCCCATCTGATTCTGATTTTTGACATCCTTTAAAGAAGGAAATCTGCTGTCATTACCTAGTCTGGCCTACATGTGTCTCTAGACCCACAGCAATGTGGTTAACGCTAAACTGCCCTCTGAAATGATCTAACAAGCCATTCAGTTCAAGGGCAAATAGGGATGGGCAACAAATGCTGAACTGGTCAGCATAGCATGGATGAATAAAGACAAATGATTGGCTCTCCAACAGCTTCTCCTATGAAGGGCAATGACTTAGAGAAAAGACCCAGCAGCAATTAGGTTGAGGAGTAACGGGAAGACCTGTCTGAAAAATTCTTTTCCAACCATGGAAAGGATCAAAGAAACATTGAGGCCAGCAGTGTCCATGGGTCACAGTCATAAATGTCCTAATTAAGCCACAACATCACTCAACTTGGGAAAGTTACAGCAAATCCATATTCACCATTCGAATGTGTAATTTTCGTCAAAGATGGAGAACCCCCATAAAGTAGTCCTCAGTGTCTGTACCTTATGTACAAGTGCTCTGGTCCTCCTCTCCAGGTCTCTATCCATGTAGGTTTCTAATCCTTACATTATGTTCATGGGAGGAGGAAAATAAATACTTACTTTTCTGCAGTACCTTACATCACCTCAGAATATCCCAAAGTGACTTACAGCCAATTGTTAGAACCTTCACTGATTTTTCATTATTTTTATCCTTTTTATCAATTTTGTATTATAAGCTGGAAATGACTGATGGGCTTTAGGACAACTTGTGTTAAAAAGACGAGAACAGACCAAACAAGCTTTGTTTATATATGAGGCCAGGCCTGGAGGCTAATTGCAAGCTGAAACTTGATTTAAAAGGTTCTAACAGAAACAATAACAGGAAAAGTGTTACATTTAAACTGCTAGCAGAAGTTGGCTATTAAGAAGGTCAATGGCTGGAAATTGGTTCTGGCAAGTCTGAAAGAGACCCTGCATTCAGCAGATGACAGTTGTTGAATGGTAATTGAGACCTCAGAGGGAGTCAACTGGTCTCTCAGGGTGGAACTAGGAATGAAGTTGTTTTTTTTCCTGAACTATGTTTTCTGAAAGATGGTTCTGGGCTGCTGCTGAGACAGCATGGGCATTTGAAAGCTCACTGTGCAATCAGATGCATCAGTTTCTGGAAGCCCAATAAGTAGAAAACTGAGTTGGAATTTTTTGCTGCCATTGCCTGGGTGAACTGAGAAAGTATGAAATAACGTACTGTGAAAGCAGTTTAAGTGATCTGGCCAGTCTTGTTATTTTATTTATTCTTTAGTTGTTTGTTTGTTTGTCTGTTTGTATTTTATATATATGGGAGCTGGCTGGAATCAAATGTTTTGGGATTAAAGCACAGACATTAATCAGCTTACTGTGTTGCTTAATTTTCTGTCTGCTATTGTTATTTTGTGTCTAATAAATAGTTAAGATTTATCTTTGAGATACAAAATCAGTGTCTGGAAATTAATTATTCATGAAGCCTGGGATTGGTTAGTCAGGAACCATTGGAATAATTATTGGGGGACTTTGATGGTTTAGTTTCACTGTGCTGTGAATACAGAAGTAGGAAGTCTACTTTGGTTCAGCTGCCTGTCTCTGTGCTGTAACATAATGAAGTATTTTTATGAAATGTAGTCACTTTTGTCATCTAGTCATTGAGTAATTGACACAGGAGGTCATCTGTTCCATGCCAGCTTTCCGTGGAATAATCCAGTCAGCTCCCTTCAAACTCTCATCCAATGTCCTTCGAAAAATTTTTCTTTAAAATAATTGTTTTTACCTCCATCACCCTTGTGGGCATTGGGTTTCAGGTCATTACCACTCACTGTATAATAGATTCCCCTTCAGATTCTCTTGGCCAAAGTTTTAAATCTGTCTCCCCCTCATGACAGGCTGGTACAAAAGGTAAAATCTCATGGGATCTCGGGTATGCTGGCTAGATGGATACAGAACTGGCTTGCTCATAGAAGACAGAGAGTAGCAGTGGAAGGGTGCTTTTCAGAATGAGTGGTTTTCTGCAGGGATCAGTGCTGGGACCTTTGTTGTTTGTAATATATATAAATGACCTGGAGGTGTACAGACCCTGAAAGTGGCTACACAAGTGGATAAGGTGATCAAGAAGGCATGCTTGCATTCATCATTGGGGTGTCAAATATAAATATTGACAAGTTATGTTACAGCTGTACAAAACTTTAGTTAGGCCACGTTTGGAATATTGCTTGCAGTTCTGGTCGCCACATTACCAGAAGGATGTGAATGCTTTTGAGAGGGTGCAGAGAAGGCTTACCAGGATGTTGCCTGGTCTGGAGAGGTTAGTTACAAGGAGAGGAAAAACTCAGACTGATTTCACTCAAAAGACGGAGGCTGAGGGGTGACCTGATATGAGGTCTGTAAAATTATGAGAGGCATAGATAGGGTGGATAGTCAGAGGCTTTTTCCCAGGTGGAAAGGTCGCTACAAGAGGGCACAGGTTCAAAGTGAGAGGGGGCAGGAAAATATTTCATGGTGGGTGCCTGGAACGCACTGCCAGTGGAGGTGGTAGAAGCAGGTACATTAGAAACATTTAAGGCGTATTTTGATAGACAAATGAACATGAGGCGAACAGAAACCACACGTGAACAATAAGTAGTGGGTCTAAACAAGGAGTAGGAATCGGCGCAGGCTTAGTGGGCCGAAGGGCCTGTTCCTGTGCTGTGCTGTATTGTATTGTCCTTGTAGTGTCTGATAATAGGAAGCGTTTTTCCTTTAGCATATCCAAGCCTGTCACACTCTTGCACACCTCTATCAAACCTCCCTCCAGTCTCTCTAAGGAAAACAACCCAGGATTACCAACCCAACCTTATAACTAAATAAAGTGCAGTGACCAGAACTGGACTCTAGTTGGATCCAAACCAGACATTTATAAAGATCCAGCATAACGTCTCTGTTTTTGTACTCAATGTTTCTACTTGCTAACCACTCTCAATACATCCTGACACCTTGTATAACCAATGCACCTGCACCCCCAGTCCCTCTGCATTCTTTTCGAATTCTGCCATTAAATCCATGTTGTCTCTGCCTAACCCTCTTGCTGAAGTGCATCACCTCACACTGCTCTGTAGTGTCTCCCACTGGCCACCACTCTGCCCATTCTGCTAGCCCATCCCTCTGCTGTGGCAGTGATTCATAGCTTCCTTCCTCTTTGGCATCCCTCACATCTGGCGTCATTTGTAAAATTTAAAATTTTACTTTGTACTCCAAGATCCAAGTTATTTCATAGAATCCCTACGGTGTGGAAACAGGCCCTTCAGTCCAACAAGTCCACACCGACCCTTGGAGCATCCAACCCAGACCCATCCCCCTATAACCCACCTAATCTACAGACCCCTGAACACTATGGGCAATTTAGCATGGCCAATTCACCTAACCTGCACATCTTTGGACTGTGGGAGGAAACCCACGCAGACACGGGGAGAACGTGCTAACTCCACACAGACAGTTGCCTGAGGGTGGAATTGAACCGGGGTCCTGGCACTGTGAGGCAGTAGTGCTAACGACTTAGCCACCGTGATGTCCTAGCCCCAATCCTTGGAGAACACCACAACTCACCTCATTTTCTGTCCAAAAGCCACCCTTTTTTTAATCCTCTAGGACAGCACCCAGCTGATTCCAACAATCTGAAAATGGCAAACCGGCCATTTATGTGGTACCTTGCCAAGTACATCCTTAAAGTCCAGATAAACAATTTACACTGCATTCCCTTCATCAACCATCTCTGACAGTTCTTCAAACATTCAATTAGATTCATTTAGCATGGTGTGCCTTTTACGAATCAGGGCTGGCTGTCCTGTTCCTGTGGCTGGATTCCAAAACCCTTACCGGCTGATGTTAAACCAAGTAGTTTTCGATTGCTAGGACCACACTTAGATCTTTTCTTGGTCAAAAGTATAAGGATATTTGCTAGTCTCCAATATTGTGGAACCTCCCCCATTTCTCAGTAAGATTCAAAGAGAAATTAAGACAAAATCACATTGCTGTTGGTCTTGGGTTCCATATAGATTCCTATGCAGTAAGGATGGTTTTCCTCAAGCACAATTAGTGAACCTAATATTCTCCGTGGCAACACTTCAAGAACATAGGAACAGGAGTAGGCCATTCAGCCCCTCGAGCCTGTTCTGCTATTCAATGAGATCACGGCTACTTCCACTTCTGTAACATTGTCCGTCATCAGGTACCATTCCTGACTCAGCTGAATTCCCCAGCCATTGCATCTCCAGTCTTTGACGACACCAATAGTCCTGGTTTAAACTTGAACTCATTCAAAACTTCTTGCTTGTGTCATTACCCATACTGAGCCATGTTCACCCATCTCTCCTGCACGCACTGACCTGTACTGGCTCCCTGGTCCAGCAAACACTTGATGTTAAAATTCCCATGGCTTCTCCCCTTACTGTCCCTATAAACAAGAACTTACATTTATATAGAGCCTTTAATGTGACAAAACACCCGAAGGCACATCAGAGAAACAATATAAAGTATGACACCAAGTCACATAGGATGATGTTACCTGGGGGAAGCAATAGCCTAGTGGTATTATCGCTGGACTGTTAATCCAGAGACCCAGCTAACGTTCTGGGGACCTGGGTTTGAATCCTGCCATGGCAGATGGTGGAATTTGAATTCAATAAAATATCTGGAATTAAGAGTCTAATGCTGACCATGAATCCATTGCCAATTGTTGGAAAAACCCATCTGGTTCACTAATGTGCTTTAGGGAAGGAAACTGCCATCCTTACCTGGTCTGGCCTACGTGTGACTCCAGACCCACAGCAATGTGGTTGACTCTGAACTGCCCTCTGGGCAATTAGGGATGGGCAATAAATGCTGCCTAGCCAGTGACACCCTTGCCCCGTGGATGAATTTAAAAAAAAATTTGGATTACCAAAAGCATAGTCAAAAGGTTTTAAGAAATGTTTTGGAAAATGAAAGTGAGTTGAAGAGGCAGAGGGAGGGAATTGCAGAGCGTGAAGCTGAAGGATTTGAAGATGTGGTCACCAACAGTGGAGTAATTTGGAAATGAACAAAATGCCAGAATTAAAGGAGTTGAGCTAGCTCAAACAGTTGTGAGGTTGGAGGAGATTACAGAGTTAGGGAGGGGGAAGGCCATGGTGGCCTTTGACAATAAGAATAAAAATATCAAAGTTAAGATGTTGGTTGATTGGGAGGTCAGGGGAGTTAAGGGATTGGACATTCTGCAAGTTGTCATGATCCATGTATTTTGGGAAGCAGGCACCTGTAATTTCTTGCTTTCCTGATTTGGAGATCATTAGGTTCCAGTAAATGCCCACTTGACCTAGGGTTGCCAAGGGGATGAAGCTAAGGGTAAATTAAATAGGGGTTTGTTCAGACAGACTGTTTTCCAGTTTGGAAGTTCAGCACACATTGAAGATTCAATTGAGACAAAGACGAAGTATCTCTTTGACTGGAACAGTATTCTGTTTGGCAGCTTTTGAACAGATCCCAGTGCTGATGCCGGGTTTGGAGAATAGAACAGAGACTCTTAATGTATGTGTAATCTCACTGGAGAGAAAAAAAATTATTGAAGTCTGAAAGGGTGAGTGATTGTGCATTGGACAAGATCCATTGTGGTTGCTCCAACATTGTCAGAGAACACCAGCTCTGTTTAACAAGATTAAGAAGGGAGTCTCTGGGGATTCTGTGCCATCAAAAATATTATGACTAATGAGGGAGTGTGTGTTCATAGATGTGTACCCTGGTGGTGGCAACTTTGTGCAGGATCTTTGGTTGGATCACTAATTAAAAATTCACTTCCCTCCACTACCAGTGAGCAATGGTTGCAGTTATCATATTTTGTATGCACAGCAACAACTTGTTACACTTCCTTTGACAATGCTTCCAAACCACAAACTTTATCCCACAGAAGAATACGGACATTAGACATATTTCTAACATCACCGTTGGGAAGTTTGCCACCAAACCGTGCACCATCCTCACTGGAAATGATATCCTTTTTCCTTCACTGCTGCTGGGTCAAAATCCTGGAAATCCCTTCCTGACATCACTCTTCCTCACAAAGAGGGACTACACCAATTCAAGGAGGTGGCTCACCTTCTGAAGGATAATTAGGGATGAGCAATAAATGTGATGCCCCATAAGAATAAATAAAATTGCTAATCAATGTGGCTCGTGGGTCAAAATGATTGATGGGAAGTGAGAAATCCTACAAAATGGAAGCTAAATTGCGAAGACTGTGAGATTGCAAATTGTCCTACATTTGCGTGGGAAGTCATGCATTTGCTTGTAACTATATGAAGCGTATTCCAAAGAAGAGTCATGTTGGATTTGAAACTGTCTCCCTTTTCACAGATACTGTCAGACTTGCTGTGTTTCTCCAACACTTTCATTTCAGATGTCCAGCAAAATGGCTTTTATATTAACTCTTGGCTGCAT